CTACGGCTCGTTCTAGAATGCTTGTGTGGATGATGGTTACACGCCCTTGTGCCTCCGCGTTTCCTTTCGTTTTTTTGAAGGGGGAGGGGATTGCAAGGCATGTACACCTAGGCTGGAGACTGAGACTCTTCTGTGTGACAGACTTGTGGAAACTGTCTACTGGAGTCCATTTCGGGCAAATCCCTCTTCTGGCTCTGATAATTCCTATGATGTAGCATCCTCAGCCTTGCAAGATGGTAGACAACTGTCTATGGAATTGCGCAACCAACCGCATCTAAACGCTAAATCTCGAACGAAAGCAAACGGTTCCAAAGCTCGGATTCCTACTGGTCGAGAGTACAATAGGGCTCGCCGAATTCCCAAACGCCGGGAACCGTTACGAATAGACTGGATCCTGCTTTGCTGTGGCGGTTTGTGTGCTCCATGATTCATTGAGCTCTGTGTGTGTTGGGGCGGGGGAGGGGCTTTGGTTGAGGACCTCAATTATCTTCCTGTTTAAGTCTGAGCACTCGCAGTGTCCCAGCCCACGTACAACCATGAATTGCGCGCTTACAATACCACATCGGCCGTCGCGTGGTGCCATCAGTCGTCCTGATTCACTGGATGGAAGGACCCTTGCTTTTGTGGATACCTGCCGATAGTCTGTGGTTCTTCTGTGAACGTTTTTGAAGGAGTCTCAAAGGGAGAAGAAATCGCTGTCTGTTTTTCGTGTATGCTTACGTCCCGACTGAATGTAGCTCTGCCAGCATCAAAAACAAGTTTTATGACGCCTTGAATGCTCTGTTGTGGCGACCTATAAGATCAGATATCTTTAATTGCCAGAGATCTGACCGCACAGGTAAGCAGGCTTAACGCATCTGAGACTCACTTAGGTTGTCGACATGGATTGAACTCAGTACGTATAGACAATGTCAAACGATCGTCTCAGCCATTTGCTAACCGCAGACTTTCTTTTACACAATACTAACTTCCGGAATAATCAGTCATCTGGTGTGCTCCGAAAAATGCTTGCTAAGGACTCAAATTGCTCGCATCGCCACCAGTTACGGATGGTGTGGATCAATAACTGAATTTCGCTTGTTTTGGTGGATCCCCACCACGCGCTCACCCTTCGTTTTTCAGGGCCGCATAAGGTAGGGTCAAGTAGCTTAGCAAGCGTCAGAGTGTCAGATCCGGATTTTAGACGAATTTACCAGAATCGTCTTCTGGATTCCCTTCCACCTTCTCCATCATCAGATGTGAACTGGAACGAGATAACCACATCTTTGCACAGTACCTGGGCCTTCGCCTGTGACGCGGAGTTACCAGGCCCGCTCAAGAATTGGATAGCTGTTGTATCTAACTGCTGTCCCCGTTCCAGTGTCCTAGTGCCGGAAGAGGACTTGCCAACAAGGAAAACAACGAATTTGCAGCGAACAAGCAAGTGCAAAAGTTACAAGGGAGTATGATGGACACGGAAATGGAAGTAGCACACGAAGCTGGAAATGCTCGAAGATTATTTCAGTCGATCCGGACGACCCCTTCCCGTAAGCCACCCGTGAAAGTGGCGCGATCATCTGGAATAAGGATGAACGCCTCAACCAGTGCCCACGAATTCATATAATAACAATTCTTGTGCCACGCGCTTCAACTCATTTGGATCCTGCAGCTGATGCAGAACCCTGGATGGTGAACGGCCCCGAGGGTTTAAGACTGCATATCTTCTCTCAAGCGCCACCGAGCTCCTCATCCGGATGATCTCCCATCCGCATTGTTCAAAGATGAAGGTGAAATCCTCAGTCAGCACTTGTCTAATCTGTTTACTTGCATTTGGAAAAAGGAGGCTGTTCAAAACAGCTGGAGAGAATTGGTGATGGTGCCCATGTTCAAAAAGGGGATCGTAGTGAGTGCGACACTCAGCGGGGATCAGATTGACCCCAGTCGCAAAGAGGCAATGAGGTGAACACTGGAAGGTCTTCAAAACTCTGGTGTTCAGATAACCTGACGAAGACCTAGTCGATCTGCAGTATACAGATGGCGTCGCTCTCTACTTCAAAGGGGGGAGGGGAAGAGTGTTTATGGATGAACCGACCGAAGTCATTCCATCCTTCAACATGCGCTTTCCACTCGAAAGTGTAGGGTCATGTTCCTGGACATGCAGCCACTGAGTCCAGAGAAAGGCATTCGAATTTGCGTTTTGCGTATATTTGAAGTTGTGTTACTTTCGATCGTAGTGTGACAAACGAAGCCAATGCACGAATTTGCAAGGCTCGAGTTGCGTTCGCTAATTACAGACAACTATGGTGGCAAAGTTGTAAATCACTGGATTTCAGGAGACGTGTCTCAGACTACACTACAGGCTGTTGTGTGGTATGAATGTGAGGCTTGAGCTGCTCGAGCAGCGGAACTGAGACGTCTTGAGGCAGTCGACAACGGTTGTCCAGGTACCGTAGCTCGTTTGGGTGTTGTCGGCGAATCCGTAGCGAGGCAGTTAGAAGGTCGGTACTTCCATTGAAAAACGTGTCCAACACCAGATGCTGCGTCGGCTGGTCAATGTAATGCGCATGCTGAACCATTGTTTGCCGAACACTGCTGGGCGAATCCGTAGGCAGTTAGAAGGTCGGTACTTCCATTGAAAAACGTGTCCAACACCAGATGCTGCGTCGGCTGGTCAATGTAATGCGCATGCTGAACCATTGTTTGCCGAACACTGCTGTTTTCAGTGCCCAATTCAGAGAAGTGGCCAACCTTTGACCCGGAAGAGGAGCATGAAAAGGCTTACGAAAGGTGTGGATACTGTCGGTGCGACTCACCTTCCAGGATAGGTGATCCCCGCTGTCCTTGATTGAAGACGCTGCAAGGTATGGCTGCTGTTGAAGGCCAATGGCGTTCTTGTTTTCTGTTTCTATCCAGATTGCCTGAATGAGTGTCTGGAAGTATGGTATGGTAGGCCAGCACTATGTGTCGTCTTCGCAATAAAGTTTTCAAGTAAATCATGGTTGTAGGGCAGCGACGCATTGATGATGTTATGTTGTCAGTGACGATAAGACGTCAGGTTTAAAATGAGCATTCCTTCGGATCAAGATGTCTGTTGCTTCCGGAAAATTGAAGAGGTTGGGAAACTAAAAATACTTGGAAATTTGCGAAAAGTGTTCCAACACAAAAATCTCTTTTGGGCGAAACAATCAAAGACAGTGGGTCTCTCATCTCTAAAATGGAAGGACGCCTGAGTCTCCCTCAACAACAGTCCAGATGGCCACCTGCTGTTGCTCCTTCGGACTACCGGCTAGTGATGGAGTCTTGCATGGTGGATTCTGAACCTCGGATAACTTCGGAAATAGGCGTTTAACTTTCCTCTCTCAAGACTAACCGAGCTGCCGGGTCCTACGAACTTGTACTTGCACAGTTTAATGGTGGAGGTTTGTATTTCTCCGTTTAAGTGAAAAACACCATCCCAACCAACTTGGGTGAGTCGATAGTGACGCCCATTAAAAAAAGGTTGCTTGTATCGTCCAGCTGTAGCATCCTTTCAGCGCCTAACTGCCATGCCACCAGAAGGAAGCATGAGGGCTGGGATACTGTCAGGTAGCCCAAGCCTAGTCAGGAGAAGTCAAGAGGTAGATGCCGGGTGTGAACCGCGGATCTTCCAGTCAGTAAATTTGCGCTCCAACCACTGAGCCATCTCGTCCCAGGTTGCTTTTAATGAGTGTCACGATCAGAGATGGGTTACCTGGACTCCCTTTGTAATGAGACTCCCTGTATTGCCTAATTCACGTCGTCTTTCGAGAATACGTGAAGTTTTGGCCCGAGAACAGCAAACAGACTTGCAGCCTTCACATATTGCGTAGGCGCCATGCAATCTTGATATTCTTTAACTTCAAAGATGCATTCGATTTTGATGACCGGTTTGTTCTGTACATGTTTGTGTAACGGAGTATGCCCCAGAAGTTCGTGAATGCGACTTACTCTTTGTATTCAGATAATTGTGAGGCGTCGGACCGTATGAAGACCACCCCCAAAACCTTCACTACAAGCGCTGGCGTTCGGAAAGGATGTTCACCCCATTTGTCTTGAATTTCTTTGTTACTGAAGTGATGAGACAAACTTCGGAAGGTCTGGAAGGTGCTAAGAGCTTTTGAAGCTTGTCGAGCAGGAATATGCAAGCGATGTTGACATTTTTGAAGAGAAACAGGAAGCGCAAACAGGTCCAGAAGAGCTTACCAAGAACATTTAATCCTTCTGCATGTGCTTCGCACCCACAAATTATGGAGGCCTACTGTGGGACTTCAATTCTCCGAGTTCGCCTCTAAGAACTCTGGGAGAGAGACTTAAATTTCTCGGAAACCATAGTATTTCGAAAACCAGGTTAACTCTGACGATAGTGTGACAGACAAAGTCAACGCACGAATCTAAGCGACGAAATTTGCGTTTACCAACTTACACTACTTGTATTATTGAAAAGACATACACCTGTCTCTAAGGGCGGACTTGTGAGAGTGCAGTGCGGGTTGCATTGTATGGTCGCGTCACTTGGTTAGCGTGGAGGATCTGAGACCCCTTCAGAACTTTGACCGCTGATGTCTCAGAACTATAGCTCGAATCTACTAGGATCAGTGAACCCGCAATGGGTTGATCAAGAAACGGGTCATTGTCAAATTGCTTTTCTCAAGGACTGCATTTAGCACTGCAAGATTAGACGGCTTGGTCATGCACCACATACGGTCTGCCTAGAAGGGCGTTGTCTTCTGTGCCTGCTTAAACAACCTAAGTTGCATTGTCTTCCGGGGACGTCGCACTATGATTATTATACACGAACACGAAGCTTTTTGGGATGTTAGGGAACGGGCGTTCCAGGCGCTATTTGGCTCTTGTTCGGGGTGCCACTTTCAAGCCCAACTAACATCCACAGGCAACGTCAAGGAATGCTTCACCTACGTGAACCTAGCTGAATTCAGTTTCGTTCGGTTATCCGCCTGGTTTCTTGGTTCCTGTTACGTAGTTTAGCATTTTTACCGTATTGCAGCACCTCGCCTCCGAACGCTTTGCTAAACCACTGAAAGGTTTTCATGATTGTGCTGTCATCGTGTTATGTCGTTTATGCTTGTTTCTCAAAGGCTGATGGAGTGATTCTTTCGTTTCTCTTGCTTGCGAACTTGGCATCTTTCTCTGACGGACAGAACTGTTCAGCCCTTCAACCTGGACAATATCGGTGCGATTTACCTCTAATAGATAAGGCTACGCAACAGCCCATCGATTGTTCAAGGGAGACCCTTCGAGCTCCAGGTACCACGTCAAGCCCTTCCGTTGAGCTTCTTGGTTTTAGTTGCTTGTCGTCCCGCTCCTGGAATATTTTGTAACGGTCAGTATTTCACCGGGGAAGAAGTTGGGTTTCTTGGTAGCGTAACCTGCCGTTTTGTGTAAGTCACTTCCTAGGTTTCTCTGATTAGTTCACAGAACGGGCTATCGCTTTGATACCGCACTGCTGTTGTCAGTGTTCGGAGGACTATTTGGGCTCGACCGGTTCTATCTTGGATACGTTGCCTTGGGTAAGCTCTGGATGTTTTCCCTAATAATGCACTGGTTTCAGGGCTTCTCAAACTTGGAACGATTGGTGGTTTCGGCCTTTGGTACCTCGCAGACATTCTTTTGATTGCTATCGGCGTAAGTCCCGTAGCGGTGTGATTCACCTTGTGAGCGAGGGTTCCGCTTGCTTTTTCCGAACAACCCCTTAGGAGTCTTGACTTCGGCTTGATGAAGTTGAAGTCCCCTTCCTTGCACATTTTTATTGGATCATTCTTAACTGGCCTCCACTGTTTCCACTATCCGCTGCATGCAGACGCTCTGCGTTTGACTATTGGTGCCTCTGAAGCATTGGATGGGGGTTAATGGGAACATCAGATCAGATCGGGAAAGTTCACTCTCCCCTGATAGATCAGCTAGGCACACTCCACAGGTTACGTTGATTAGATCATGTACTTCCTATGTCAGAGGGCCGTTTTCATCATGTGGCCTTCGCAAACCTTTATAAAGTAGAGAAGTTTGCGAAGAAGGTCACACGATGAAAACAGCCCTCGCAAACCTTTATAAAGTAGAGACCGTCACGAAGAGACTGGATCTTACGCTTGGCATTATGTGTGCTGTGTCTCAGAAACGAGAATTCAAGATGCAAGCACAGTGATTGAGTTAACCGCCCCGTCAGTCTCCACTCGCCTCCGTCTGCGCACCTCTGGTGATTCAGAGGCTGCTGCGGTGGGATGTGCAGGGGTTGGTATTGTGCTAAGTCATCGGGCGGAAGTATCCTTACTTGACTGGGTACCTGTTGATAGTCGCCTCTGTGAAGGAGTCTCACAAGCGGCAAGTTGATAGATGTCTGTTTATCGTGTCTGCCTATGCCCCAACTGACTGTAGCTCTGACGCCGTCAAAGACAGGTTTTACGACGCCCTGAATGCCCTGCTGCCGCGAGCTAAAAGCTCAGACATTGTGGTGGTTGCCGGAGATATGAATGCGCAAGTGGGCAGGCTTAGT